AAGCGACAACTATGGGACCGATACAGGCAGAATAAAACGCCAGAAAACTATCAGCTTTACAGAAATCAAAACAACACTCTGAAACAAAAACTATTTGATGCTAGAAAAACATATGAACATAACTTAGCAGCCTCAAAGTCACCTAAGCAGTTGTACAAATACATAAGTAGAGCCTTAAACTCTAAAGTGTCTACAATAACGCTCAAAGATCCAACCAGTCACGAAATTATGGATAACAAAACCATGTCGGAAAAATTTGTATACCAATTTGATAAATCATTCTCTCAACCACAAAACTACACCCCTCCACCACAGCCAGCAAGTATCAGAAACCAGAACTCAATCACCAACATAGTCTTCACTGAAGAGAAGGTAAAAGAGACCCATACGAAAATGAAAAAAGAATCAAGTCCTGGTACAGATGGAATTCCTACAATCTTCCTCCAGAACTGCAGTGAAACAATTAGTTCGTACTTGGCAGAAGTGATGCAAGAGTGTATACAACTGGGAAGGATCCCGGAGCAATGGAAACTGTCAATAGTAACACCGCTATTTAAAAAAGGAGACCGACACAAACCAGAAAATTATCGTCCCATAAGCCTCAACTGTAATCCATTGAAATGCATGGAAAAAATTATTGTGAAAGAATTAACATCATTTTTCACAGAAAACAATTTGATACCTCCATCACAGCATGGATTTCTTCCAAAACGGTCCACTACAACAAACCTAATCGAATGCCTGGATGATTGGACAGAAAACCATGACAACTCCCAACCAACTGACATTATCTATTTGGATTATGAAAAAGCATTCGATAAAGTTCCTCAGAATTATTTGCTTATCAAGCTTGAACACTATGGTGTGCGAGGACAAATACTGTCATTGATAGCAGACTCCCTATACAAAAGACATTATCAAGTGAGAGTGAATGGCGAAATGTCTAAGCAACATCCAGTCAGCAGCGGAGTTATTCAGGGATCAGTAATAGGGCCTTTGCTTTTTACGGCATATCTCTTCGATCTTGTCGACCTGATTGAGACGAAAATGAAAAATTTTGCTGATGATGGTAAAATATATGCAAACCCCTGTCTTAACGCAATTCAGCTCAAGAGAGGTCTTCAAAGAATCGAGGAATGGTCCAGTACCTGGGGGATGAAACTAAACGAATCTAAATGCACAGTATTAAGAATTGGTCCAAACAACCCAAACGAACAATACACATTGAATAACACAGTTTTGTCGGTAGTGGATGAGCAAAATGACCTGGGTGTTATCGTGACTGCAAATTTAAAATGGGAAAACCACATTCTGAAAATAGCCAAAAAGACCAACTCGTTCGTCTACCTTGTAAAACAGGCATTCAAAGACCACACAATGGAAATGATTTCAATACTATATAAAAGCTATATTAGGCCAAAACTTGAGTACGCTTACACAGTATGGAACCCATATTACGTAAAAGATATTGAGATCCTGGAAAAAATACAAAGAAGAGTCACGAAGATACCCAATGAACTGAAAAATTTACCATACCCAGAAAGACTGGAAAGACTTCAATTAACAACGCTAAGGGAGCGAAGACATAGAGGAGACCTTATCGAAACGTATAAAATAATTAGTGGACACTATCAGTGCGAAATCAAGAACATCTTTCGTTTCAACCAGAATCCACAGCTTCGAGGACATTCAATGAAAATAGACAAGGAAAGGGCTGCTAAACTCCAAAGGAAGAATTTTCTGACCAATCGTGTGGTATATTCATGGAATGCACTCACAGAGGAAACGGTTACTTCAGCAAACGTTAATATATTTAAAAATCGTTTAGACAAAGAATTAAGACAGAGTGCAGCAAGAATGATCCATTATGGCGCATAATTAAAGGAAAATGTAAACAATAACAAATTTTAAAGAGACAATAGCTTCATCGGTACACCGCTTGCTATTGGATAATTACATTATTACATTACATTATTACTTACGAAATGTAATAATTTGTACACTAATCAATCATTAGAAAATTCGGTTAAGAAGAATGCTCACTAAACTCGACATGCTTTATAATTATTATTTTTAATAGCTTATTCCTCCATGTAGTCAGAGAACGAGGCACCTCTAGGATGCGTTTTTAGGACCCTCTATTAGACATCGCGAACAACCACCTAAAAAAAATGTTTTCTTATGTAAATTGACCTGGCAAATCCGATTTTGGAGTTCGCCAGTTGATCTGGAATTGCAAAACTGGTCAAAACCGGCATTTTCAAAAAATATCCAATTTTATGGATTTTTCTAAATTTTTATTCAACACGCTGTATCTCCCTTAGTTTTAGTCCGATTAAATTGAAATTTTTTATAGAGCCAATTTAGACCTTTGTTATCATGACTGACATAACAGAAATGCAGAAAAAAAATTATGAGTCACCATAATATATTTTTTTAAATTTAATGACACAAAAATTGTTAAAATTGCAGCCAGAAATACTCGATCGAGAAAACTTTTTTGTTTTTGAAGATAGATGTATATAGTAAGCGACAAAGTTGTAGCCAAAGAACCAAAGTAGTTTTTTTATTCTAGTCATTTTTTTGATAACTTACTTAGTTTTTAAGCAAACGGATCCCCAATATAGAAGAAAACTATTCCGGCCCCGCGGGCGCTGCACAAGCAGTCGCCATGCGTATTCGTTTGCAGTTTCAGAGGGCAGGGATAATAACCAATAATAACCTATTCAATAATACCTAATCGGGGGTTTATTTCAAAGTTCATTTAGTAAATTTTAATTTTGGAGAAGGAGAAATATGTAAAATAAAGTTTTAAATTTTGATAAAGGCAATTGACACCGGCAGTGGTTTAAAATGTTTAAATAGATTCGATTGAAAATATCATTCATGATGTTATTTATTTATGTCCAGTGTTTTTTATCATACTCATATTTGTTCCTGATTCAGCTGCTACTCTAATTAATTTCAAGATTGAGTAATGACAACAAATAACATTGAGTGTTCTGATGTTAACTTAGTATCAGAGGAGAATGGAAACTTAAGACGGTATTTGAGGGAAAAACGCTTGGATATGGTAGAGCTATCGTATGCTAATTAGAAGAATTTTTTCAACTTAAGAAACAGTTTTCTTAGCTATTTCCGGATTCCGGATTTAGAAAGAATAAAGGCTCAACTTTGTATGTTCAGTACTGTTTATTTTGGCGGATACTGTATATTTCATTATTTATTTACGTGATATGAAAATTCTAAAAATTTATGCTCCAGAAGTACATGAAGCGTTTCTAAAAGGAAAATTTAGCATTCACTTAAAAAAATGAGGTGCTTAACAGCGTTTGGACTGATATGAGCTTAGAACAAACATACATAAACTTTTCATATCACGTAAATAATGAGGTATATATGACACCATATTTGTAGTGTCCAGCAAACACTATAAAAAGCCTAAAAAGGAGCATTTTCTCTACAGATAGTAAATGCTGGTTCCAATCTCCGCTACGTTCTGCAATTATATACCACTGTAGTATACATATCATATTTATGTACTGCAGCCAGAAAAGATCAGTGGGGTTATTTTTAAAAGTTTCTTTGGATTGTTTTCTTAAAGGCTTAATTTTTTTTTTAAACAAACTACAGATATTAGCATAGGATAGCTCTACCATATCCAAACGTTTTTCCCTCAAATACCGTTTTCAGTCTCCTCTGTTACTAAGTTAACATAGAACATTCAATGTTATTTGTTGTTGTCATTACCCAATCTAAAAATTAATTAGAGTAGGAGCTGAATTTGGAACAAAGATGTGGACAAAAATAACAACATGAATGATATTTGAATCGAATCGATTTAAACCACTATTGTTGTCAATTACCTTTATCAAAATTTAAAACCTTATTTTACATATTTCTCCTTTTCCAAAATTAAAATTTACCAAATGAAACAGTACCTATACGTGGCCTGACTTGCCGCGGCCGCGTTAGTTTTTTTTCTATATTGGGGATTCGTTTTCTCGAAAACGTAAGTAAGTTATCAAAAAAATCACAAGCATAAAAAAACTTCTTTGCTTCTTTGGCTACAACTTTGTCGCTTACTATATATATCTATCTTCAAAAACAAAAAAGTTTTCTCGATCGAGTATTTCTGGCTGCAATTTTAACAATTTTCGTGTCACTAACTTGAAAAAAATATATTTAAAGGTACAATTCCGAACATCACTGCAGGCTGCAGGCAGCCGACCGCAGGCTGCAGACCGCGACCGCCGGCACTATTGGTTATACAAAATCGAATGAAACAAATTCGAAACACATCGCCACTGTTGCCTGCCGCGGCGACATGCCGCCACCGCAGACCGCACTACCGCTCTTGAACCAGTACGAGTAGTGTAGTTGGCTCGACTGCAGATTGTTGAAATTGGCGAAAATGAGTTTTTCGAATGCGGAAGAAGAAAAACTTATCAATCTCGTGGCCAAATATTCAAACAAATGATTTCTAATCAGCACTGAATAACTGCCTTCCGTTTTTCTAGTTTTAAATAATGGTATCGTATGCTTTCTCCTTTTTCTGGAATAATGTAACAACAAAAGGTCGTCGTCGTCTTCTTCTTTCCATAGAATGCTCAAAATATCCCGAGGGTCAAACACATTAGACATTTTCTCTGGTTATATACCTATAGACTGAATTGAAGAAGTTGTTGGCTGCTGCGGATGCTTTCGGAATCAAATCAACCGCAGGCGGCAACTACTTTGCGGTTGTCGTCCGCGGTCTGCAGTTGCGGTTCGTCGCTGTAGTCGCTTTCGGAATCATACCTTTAGGTGAATTGTAATTTTTTAGATAGATAAGAAAAGAAAGGAACAAGCTTGTTTACATTACCCTGGTCCCTTTTTTTCATTACCCGATTTGTTATTCATGTCTAACCCATTTATGGTTAGCAGTTTTATTACTTTAATTTAAAAAAAGATAAATGCATTCTCCTTTGTTTCAATCCAATACAATGTTTTTTTTTCAGCTGGAGCCCTATATGACCGAAAGTTTCATCCTCAACTCATTCCGGAAAATGGGCGAAGCTCCATTGAACGTCAAAGTAATGCGTAACAAGTTTACTGGGGAACCAGCGGGCTATTGTTTTGTACACTTTGCCACTGACGAAGAGGCCATTGACGCTATGCACAAATTAAACTCGAAACCCATTCCTGGAACAACGCCCATTGTACGTTTCAGGTTGAATAATGCTAGCAACAATATGGGACGTCAACTTATTGATAGGGAGTTCTCAGTTTGGGTCGGGGATTTGAGTCCTGATGTTGACGATTACAATTTATACAGAGTCTTTTCGTCTAAATATAATACTATTAAGACTGCAAAAGGTATGTAAGCAAGTAGTACTTAATAAGTAGTGAATGACCCATTGATGAGTAGTTTATCTATACCATTTGAGCATAGTGATGCGTTATAGTCGAGTTTATAGTACATTTTATACTAAAAATTAAGGCCAATTTATTTAAGTTCTTTTAGGGAAAGTGAATGTCAAGCAGAAAACAAATACCTACACAATTAGAAATTTTTCTCATAACTAAAATAAAGAAATGAATATCTAAACAAATTCATAGAAGGTTCTCATAATAAATCATCACTGCTATTTCAACTTGAACCTGACTAAAGGCTTTATATTTTGCAGTTATATTAGACAACAGCGGATTCAGCAAAGGATATGGATTTGTCAGGTTTGGAAGCGACGATGAAATGAGGGACAGTTTAATCACAATGAACGGATACATTGGTCTTGGAACCAAATCTTTGAAAATCAGTAACGCAGTTCCCAAACCTAAAGGACTTGAGGATACTCCTACAACGCCTTCTCCTGTCTCTGCTGTTGCTACTGTTTTCAATCAGTATTATGACTCAGCTGCATATTGGCAAAATTATGCTGCAAACTGGCAGCAAGGGTACTATGATCCTACCGCTGCAGCAGAAATGCAACAAGCTGCCTATGCTCCTATGCCAGAACAGGAAAAAGAAGACGATTTAGAATTAATAGGTAAATATAGAACTTTATTTCAAGTTTTTTTTTTCAAATTATTTATTACTTTTTCCCTCGCTTTTTCCTATAAATTCAGCGCCGTTTTGTAGGTTTCACCTCAATTATACATTTGGACTCTTCTTGTTGCTTTTTGCAATCTTCTTAAATGCATAACTTTTATGACCTCAGCAGTTTGCTTTTCTGGCTATTTGATACCAAAGATACACTTCTGTAAGAGTAACAATAAAACTAGAGGGCAAACTACTAACTTCCAATGAAATATCAATATCAATAAAAAAAAAATCATTAACGATATTTCGAGAATTGTTGAATTTGAGAGTTTTAGACAGTAGAGAAAGGACAATAACATTTTCGCGCCAAATAGTGGTTCTTTATTTATTTATTTATTTATCAACGGGCCGAGCCCACTTACAAAATGCTAAACATTCAATTCAACAATATAGAATTAGATAACAAATGTAACAAAAATAAAATTAATCACTCTTAAAATTATATAATAATAATAATAACAACAACAAACAGCCCTGCAACTTGATGAGAAATGAGTAAGGCTAGATACGTAGATTGGACTAGTAGATTTAGGTAAAAATCAAATAATAATTAGTAGGTACAATAAAGTTATAAAAGGTGGGATCAGCAATTTATGATAAAAGTTTTCTAACAACTACCTAAAAGTATGACGAACTTGACCCAGGAAAATGCTCAAGAGGGCAAAAAGGTCAATCTCATGGTGCTCATTTGCAAGTCTAGCTGTTCGGGAAATAAAAGTATTGCGTCCGTAATTAGTTCGATGAATCGGAATATGAAAACTGTCATTCGACCTGGTGGTTCTAGGAGGGACATGAATGCTAATTTTGTGAAGAATTTCGGGATTCGAAGCCTTCCCATGTAGGATATTATAGAATGTTGTAAGATCTCTCCTCTTGTGACGCATAGTTATTGAGGCCATATTCAACATAGAAAGTAGTTGTGAATCATTATAATTATTCAAAATATTCAGTTTAAAGGCAATTTGTTTCAAAAATTTGTGTTCAACAAGTTGTACAGAATCACGATGTACAACATAAAAGGGGGACCAGACGCAAGAGGCATATTCTAGATGAGGGCGTACTAGGGCACAATATAAAGTCTTTAAGGTTGTAACATTGGTGAAATCTTGTGTAGTCCTTCTGATAAAACGCAGCATTTGAAAAGCTTTATTTATTGCATTGTTTAAATGATTAGTGAAGAAAAGATCTGTGTCTAAAGACACACCAAGGTCTCTGATAATGGAAACTTCCTCAAGGATGTGTTGGCCAATTTTATAATTAAATTTAATAGGATTTTTAAGACGTGAAAATGTAATGGCTTTACATTTAGAAGGGTTGAGATCCATGAGGTTTCCTATACACCAATCTTGAAGGCTGTTAAGATCGTACTGTAGTTTGTCACAGTCTTCAGGAGTTCTTATTATGCAGCTAGTTTTGAGGTCGTCGGCAAACAACAAGAAAAGACATACGGTAAAACATTCGTGAATATCATTTACAAAGACATTAAAAAGAAGTGGCCCAAGATGGGACCCCTGTGGCACCCCGGAGGTAACCTGAATGATTTTGGAGAGGAAATTGCCAATTTTAACAATCTGTCTCCGACCAGACAAATAACTGTGAAACCATGAGATCAACGGTTCATCAATCCCAAACAACTTAAGCTTATGTAATAACATGGTATGGGAGACCCTATCGAATGCCTTGGAGAAGTCAGTGTAAACTGTATCCACTTGAAGTCCCCTCTCCAAGGCATCCAACAGATAATCCACTTGAGTTAAAAGATTTAATTCAGTTGATTTGCCCTGTCTGAAGCCAAATTGTTCATTAATTAATCTAGGTTCTAAGAGGGGGGTTAAAAAGTCACATACTAGGCTCTCAAAAACTTTAGGGATTGTGCTGATAATACTAATGGGTCGGTAATTGGTTACCAACGTTTTATCTCCGGATTTAAAGATGAGCTTGAGAAAGCTTTCCTTCCAAAACTCTGGAAAAACGCCAGTACATAGTGACAGGTTGAAAATGTGGTAAAGGGGCCTTGAAAGGTTAAAACTGCAGTTTTTTAGAAGTATGGCTGGTATTCCATCTGGACCAGGGCCTTTGTTGATATCTAACGTAGATAATTTGGTGAATATGTCAGATATTAGTATATGATGCTTTGGTATATGGACAATGGATGTAGGTAACTCATGTGTAGAAATATCATGATTATTGTTTGAATAAACTGTAGAAAAATAATCTGCAAACATGTCGGCAATCTCCTTACCAGAGCAACTTGACCTGTCCTGATATTTAAGTTCACTAGGAAAAGCATTGCTTTTCCTTTTTTTGTTAACAAAAGACCAAAATTCTTTGATGTTGGAGTTAATAGCCCTTTCAGTCCCCTGAACATAGTCCCGGTAGCATTCATGTGTCAAGTTCTTGCAGAGATGTCTCAACCTAGAAAATTCACGATAATCCACATCAGAACGAGAGGACTTGTATTTTTTATGAGCTTTTTTCTTTAGAATTACATAGTTTTTTAATTCAACTGAAAACCAAAACGGAAACTTTCTGGCAGAGAATTTTTTTAAAGGTACAAATTTATCTATGGCAATGTAGATAATTTCATAAAAAATATTTAACATTGTATCAAGAGTTTGATTACATAATAAAAAGTCCCAGTTAAATTGATCTAAAAACATAACAACATCCTGAAAATTGGTAGAATTAAAGTCTCTATAAAAACCGTCAAAGTCAAGACCTTTTTCAGTAGTGTCCGAACAGCAAGCCTTCAAGGTAGCACTTAAAGGTGGGTGAACCACAAAAGGAACTAGGAAACAGTCAGCAGGTCTAACTTCTGTTGAAAAGTCTTGCGTAAGAATTAGGTCAAGGAGGCTATTATGAGAAGTTAAATATTTATTAGTTTGGAACAAGTTGTGAAAGTTACAGATGTTTGACATAACCTCAACACGAGCAGTATCTAGAGGCACAGTTGCAGTCGCAGAGGAGCTAAGGTTGTCAATCTGCCATAAGGCGTGTGGTAAATTGAAGTCACCAAAAATATGTAGAGTGGAACTAGGCATCTGAAGTGCAAGTGTGTCCAAGGTTTCAGAAAATGTAGTATATACTTGAACTGGTGAATTAGGAGGGACGTAAATTGCCCCTAGGATTAAATTAGAATTGCTAGATCCAATAGCCACAAAAACTTGTTCAATGTTATCTGCAACATCAAGCCGTTTGCTAGGTATGGATTTGTGAATTGCTATTAGAACTCCACCCCCTCTTGAAAAAACACTGGTTTTAGTTGAACGGTCCTGACGATAGATGTTAAAGTCAGTGAAATTGAGTTCGGCATCATATATGCCACTGTGCAGCCATGTTTCAGTTAAAACAAATATGTCGTGATGACAGGCCAAAATATTTTGTTGGATTAAGCTTAGTTTGGTTCTTAAGCCTTGGGTGTTCTGGTAATATACAGAAAAAAATTTTGTAGGCTCGGTTTGTTTTAGTTTTTTTGTATGATTTTAGGAACACCCTGAAAGTATTTGATTCTTAAATTAATTTCTCCGTTTGATAATCTTTGCCTAAGTTCAGTCTTCATCCTTGCTTCAGCTTCGATCTGAGTTTTGGTTAAATCCGGGTTAACATAGATATTTTTGCCCTTGAGTTTGGATCTAGAGCGAACAGCAAGTTGAGCAACCTCCTGCTTTTGAAAAGATACTTTGAGACACTTACGACCATTTTTGTTAGGTTGTCCAATTCTCACTACATTCTTCACTACAGCATCAGGTATGTCTAGTGACTCAAGGAGGCTGGTAACATCATTGTGGTCTTGATTTTGCTCTGGCAGGTTATAGACCATAATATTGTTTGCACGGTTCTGGCGGTCTTGAAGTTCGGCAAAAAGGTCATTATTCAAAGGAGCATTGTTATTGCTGGAGGTAGTAGGGGACTTTTGGTTTAATTCGTCCCTCAGTAACTGCATCTCAGACTTGAGCTGATCAATTGCGGATAGGATTGATGGCACTTGAAGCAGACCAGATTGGCAATCATCACAAAGATATTTTAATGTATGTTGGCCTTTCAGCTCAATAACCCGGATTTCAGACGAGTTCAATCCCGAGCAAACCAGCTTGTGGATGGCCCTTTTGCAGCTGTCACAGCTTGTGAGCAGTTTTGAGTTCTCTTCATCAACTATGCACTTGAGGCAGTGCATGGTGAATTTATAGGTTAGGGAATTTTATTTCCAAAACAATTGGCAAAATGCACCAACTAATTACACAAACTGAAGGCAACCATGAACTGAATCGACCAACAAAACACTTTCAATTTAATTTGGTAAAATAAGTAAGTTATGAATTGAAAAAGTTTAACACATCTTGTGTGTAAATAAAAACATAACCTGTTCTTGTACCGTACCTGCTTAGTACGATCCAGTGTATAATAATTTTTTTCTCCGAATGACAGTAAAAGCTGCCTTTTAATGACACTTGACAGGATCAAAAGTTGTATTTTTATTGCCTAGGCAGTAAAAGTGGACTTTTACTGCCTAGGCATTAAAAGTGACAGTGTCACAACGTTCCAGGTAATAATTTCACTCAATTTGGTATTTGAAATTGATGGTGACAATGACAATTGTCAAAATAATTAAATAATTTGGATAATAATAATGAATGAAATAAATATAAAAAAGATGTCCATGTGTGAATTTGAACATTCGGAGAAAAAATTATATGTTTTACATGGCAGAAAAGCAGATTTAATGCCTCGGCTGGTTTTCTAGCCTCGGCTATGAAACACCAGCCTCGGCATTAAATCTTGTACTTTTCTGCCTAGTAAAACAAATAACTATTAAAGGATTCTCTCAGTGTAGAATGAGGGCTAAGGCTAAGTGTTTATTATCAAAATTCAAGGTTACGAATTAATGTTCCCACACATCGAAAGAGCTGACACTTTTTGTCGCTTCTCTATAGTTTGGTTATTCTCTAGTAATACTCTCTGTTCGTCATAAAAGAACCAGCACCTTGCTTATTTAATTACACTTCTCTGTATTACTTCCATTGACAGGTAAATTAGTTGAAAAGCGCTCTCCTTGGATAACCCTGCATGTACATTCTCTTAGTTTTAAACGTTACCTGTACCTAGGATATATTTTATTCAAATACCTATAATTGATTTCAGAACACACAGTACCATTGGATATTGACAAGTTGAACCAGGAAGTAATGGATAATGACTGCCTATTATGGGATGCCCTGGAAAGTTCCAAATGGGAACCATTTGAATTGTATGATATGATTAGATTCCTAGAAACCACTATTTTCTAAAATCGTATCAAATATTATATTATAAAATAATCATAAATAAAGTATAATCTCGAAAAACGCGCTTTTTTAATTTATTTGAAAGGCAAACCGTCCTAGATCTAGCAAAATCAGTCACAGGACAGGCAGATATTCTCGTGCTCCTGCAAGTGAACAACTGGTGGACTAATTTCAACAGTTCTGGAATCACCTGGCAATGAAATTCCAGCTAAACGCGGACAGAACCTTAATTTATTTATTTATTTAGGCATTCACATTTACAAGAATAATAACAGGTATTTCTTAACCTAAAATTGTCTTCTTGGTAGAAGTTTTAAATCTATCTTTTGAAACAGTAAAGAAGTCAAGTTGACGGCAAATTTATTAACATTTCTGCTAATTCGGTTTACTTAATTATACATAAAATACAGAGTACGACTCGGTAGGACTTGTAATAATGGAGCATTACGACTTACGAGTTATGTAACCATGAACATGAAATTTTATCACTGAAAGACATTCTGGGCTACAAATATAATTATTAATAATACAGGGTGTCCCAGCCGAGAGTAACCCATTTTAAATGCTTATAACTTTTAAACCAGGTGTGCTAGCGATCTGCGGTTTGTGCTACTCGATTTCTCTTGATCTAAAGTTTTTTTTTAGTCGTTGAAATTTTTTTTGAAACCTATACAGGGCGAGTAAAAAAAAATCATTTTTTCAACATCGAAATTCTCCACTATTCCTAATGGAACACCCTGTATATCACAACGCCAAAAAAAAGATTCAAGTTCGAGGTATCCATAGACATCATCCCTAAAACTTGAAGTTTTAGCCATGCAAAATCAAAATCGAAATCTTGGTACCTATTTTTGCAAATGCGTGCAACTTCATGTTGTAGGTACTTGATATCACCATGGCAAAGAATTTTGCAACTGTCTAGTAACTAGACTCTAGTTTGATATCAATTAAGTTAAAATATTTTTTTCAAGAAAATTTACGAGTTCCAGAGTAGGAATTTTCTCTGGAACTCGTTAGATAGAGATACCCCAACAGTAACAGTTTGGTGTGCAATCTCTAATGAGAAAAAATACAGACCATTTTCATTAATGAACCAACAATAATGGAAACTGTATACACTGATATGTTTTTTTCCCACAGAAGACAGGAGGGTATCTTCGATGATATCTATTTTCAGCAGGATGGTGCCTCCACCTGATTATTCTTTAATAACAAGGGAATCACTAGATATGGCATTTGGGGAAAGACGGATAAGGAGAGCTGGTCCTATACAATGGACACCTTACTCTCTTGACTTGAAAGTTCTAGACAATTCATCCAACCATTCACTGATTCATAAATGCCTGGAACAGATTAACTAACATATACATAAAGGTACAGCATTTTGTATAGTTTTATGCAGCTGTTATTAACTTTTTATTAGGCAAACATAAGTTCCAAGCTTTGAAAATATGCGTTTGCAGAAATACTTACCAAGATTTCAATTTTGATTTTTTACGGCTAAAACTTCAAGTTTCAGGGACGATCTCTATTTGCATATGGATACCTTGAACATGAATCTTTTTTTTGACGTTGTGATATACAGGGTGTTCCATTAAAAATAGTGGAGAATTTCGAGGTTGAGAAACGGATGTTTTTTACTCGCCCTGTATAGGTTTCAAAAAAACTTGCAACCTACTAGAAAAAACTTCAGGCCAAGAGAAATCGAATGGCGCAAACCGTAGGTAGCTAGCATACTTGGTTCAAAAATTATAAGCATTTAAAATGGGTCACTCTCGGTGGGACACCCTTTATTAAATGTAAAACAAAAAAAATACCCTTTCTACTCAGTTTGTACCCTACAAATTCAATAAATTTACACTGAATGCTCTCAAGGCGATCTATGTATATATTAAAAAATGGTGACCAAATTATGTTTGAAAACTCGAAGATAGATCTCACAAAGCTAAAAAATAGTTATTTACCTAACAAATGCGGAAAGTGATACTTTACCGCACGCAACGGCAGTTGACCGAACGACGCGAAGCGGAGTTCAGTCAAGCCGTTAAGGGTTGTGTACAAAATTTTACCTATGAGCATCTACTTACATCTCCAAAAAAGGGCATTGATAAAAATAATTATTGAATCAGATTAATTAATGAAATTAGATTAGATTTAGAAATTATCAAAAATCCATTTTCTGGAAAAAAAAAGGATTTTCGATTATAAATATCAAAATTCTACTTTACCGCACACTATGCGGTAAAGTGCACTTTACCGCACACTTTGTAGTCCACTTTACCGCATACTATGTTGTAAAGTTAACTTTACCGCACACTATGCTGTAAAGTTAACTTTACCGCATATAGTGTGCTGTAAAGTGCTACTTTCCATTTGCAAATACGTGCGGTAAAGTGCACTTTACCGCACGCTCGTAGGTAAAAGAATTTTCAGTGTTTGTAAAATCCTAACAAAATCTCCTAACAAATCCCAAAATTATACCAGCACGGGCTATGACTTTTTCATAGTGCTCAGAAAATTTTGTATCGAGATTCAGGTCCTTCACAACAGATACCTCCTTCAACAGACTACCACCTAACATGTAAGTCATAGGAAAGTTATTTTTAAGCCTACTAAACCGCAAAATTCTACACTTCTGTCTTTAGAGTCATGGCTATTTAGAGTACACACCATCTATCTTGTTTAGATCATTCTGGATTTTAATTTGATCTTGTTGGTACAGAATTTTGGCGTATACTTTCAGGTCATCAGCAAATAATAAGTATGCAACTTCCAAGAAAGAACAAATGTCATTTATAAAGATATTAAACAAAGGGGTGATGTGACAAAAAATATATTTATTAAACAGATACCTAACCTTCTATCCTTACTTGTTGGTACCGATTTGATAAATAAGATTCTAGCCATTTCAATAATGACCCCGCAATACCATACTTTGTCAATTTTGATATCAAAACAGCATGGCTTACTCTATCAAAAGCTTTGCTGAAGTCCATATAAATGGCATGAACCTCAGCACCTTCCACCATAGCAGTAGAAATAAAGTTGGTGTATAAAAACAGGTTGGTATCAACAGAACGACCAGAGGTAAAACCATGCTGCCCTGATACTGTAATCTTCCCAAAAAACCTTTTCAGTCTTATCTCAACAAAATGCTCAAATAATTTGGGAACAGCTGAAAGACATTTCCTTTATTTTTTTTAAAAGATAAAAGTCAAAATGACATTATGTTGGCAATACAATGTAAAATTGTCAATGCTTTCAAATTTTTTATGTAGAAAAGGCTTGTGTTGCCAACATAGTTACTAAATTTTTGACTTGGGGAATTATCTTTAAAAAAAAAACAGACTTTACAAAAGATTTTTTCCATACGGCTGGAAACTCACCAATTTTTAGCGAATTATTAAATATTATATACAGTGGCATGTAAAGAGATTTAGCACAACATGTCAAAACAGATGGAGGAACACCATCTGGACCCATAGGCTCTGAACTGTCAAGCTCTTTTAATAGGTACTTTCTCTATTTCAGGGGCACTCAGCTACATATCTGAATAATCCTGGTCAAGCTCTGGAATGTAGTCACAGTCGGACAGTGGCGTGTTTACCATGTAAGCTAGGGAAACACAGCTTCCCCTCGAGGATTTATTAAGAACACTAAACTAAACTTTATGTAGACATTTTCAAAAAGAAATATATGAAACTTGTGAATGGCTGTGAAATTATAAGTCTCTCCTGTCCTGTACTTTCACTATTTTTCTCCACAGCTTCCCCGTCTGTTAAAGTCTGGACACGCCACTGCAGTCAGATAAATTTTGTGAATCATAAGTATCAGAAAAAAAAATCCGCAAACAAATTAGAAACATCACTTCCATTATCCGCAACTCTGTCACCAAATTTCATAATCTTGGGACAATCATTCCTTGCCTATTTGGTTTTAATAAAATTCCACAAGTGTTTCAGGTTGTTATTAATTGAGTTTTCTGAATTTTCAATAAATTTGCTATAATCCATTTCAGTTAAGTTTTGCATTGTTGCCTTAGCCTAAAAAACACTGTGTAATCCTCTTGCCTGTTGGTGTGTTTAAATCTTTTATGAGCTTGTTTTTTGTTAAATATAAGGTTTTTTTAGTTCTCTTGAGAACTAGGCAGGAAAAATACAACAGTTTTGTGTTTTACAGGTACGTATTTTTCAAACGCTTCAGAGAGAATATCAGTCAATAGATAAAAAATACTGGTTTAATCTACAGTGATCTGCGTTGTTAAAATCATAATTCCAACCACAATCAGGCTTGGGGCCCTCACTGAAATCCGTAGAAATACATATTTTCAGTGGAGGATGATGGACATCTGGCTTAACTAATCCTACAGTTCTACTAAGCGACAGCACTTCTAAATCAGGAAAACAAAGATCTAAAGTTTTACCATTGTCATTTTTTACACCATTATACCTACTGGGCAAGACCATAATATGCCATATTATCACACACTAGTGTCTCTGTAACACCAGTAACATTGCCAGGAAGTAAGCCAATATACTCCTTGGATACATGCCAATCTAATCTTGGAAGGTTATAGGTAGTCTCCTATCACCATTATTTCATCAAACTGGTTGCGAGCCATCTCAACAGATTCAATATGAGCAGTATAGACAGATGAATCCATACTAGGAGGAATGTATACTTTACCAATGCAATAATATGACTTACCCACTAGCACAGCAACCCAAACCCCTTCCACTGCAGGGTTATTTATTGCAACTATTTTAGATTTAAACTCGCTTTTCACTACAATGAGTACTTCACCTACGGACTTTTTAGAACTGTTGTCAAAACCATGATTAGTACGATACACTATGTAATATGTAATTACCAGGAAATCGCTCCGAATCATTTACTTATATCAGAATCTAAATTTGTTTCAGTTAGTTATAGCAATTATACTGTAAGACTCAGATATCACAGAAGTCAGTAGGTAATTCTTTTAGTTTAGTTTTTAGACCACGGACATTTTGGTAAAATACTACTGTAAAGCTGTCCATTAACTCTTAACTAAATAT